CCTGCACGTAGCAAGTCATGTGTTATTTTCACATGTTCATCTCCCCAGCCAGAATTATGCTTAAGACAGCATCTCTGTTTTGCTCATTTTTTTTCTAGCTTAAGTGCTTAGCATACACTAAGTGCTTAAAATGTGTTGAAAGAGGACTCCATTTCCAAGTCTTCAATGTAGCTACCTGGTACTGGGCACATTACAGCATGCCAGACACTCTGCAGAGCGATGTACACACATTCCCTGGTGTGTTGCTTACAGCTTCCCTTGCGGGGAGTCACTATTGTTCTCTCTATTCAGTGGGGCTTTAGAGAGAGGCAAGGTGACTGGACTGAGCACTCTGGCTAGAGCAAACGAGGCTCCACTCTTTTCTGCCTGTGTGGACTTGGACAAGTCAAACCTGTGCTGTCAGAAGTGTGCAGAGATGACTATATCACTCCCTCTATTCACTTCTTTCTCCTTGGTAACAGAACCGTATTTTTTTCTTTTTTTTTTTGAGATGGAGTCTTGCTCTGTTGCCCAGGCTGGAGTGCAATGGCACCATCCCACCTCACTGCAACCTCCGCCTCCAGGATTCAAACAATTCTACCTCAGCCTCCCGAGTATCTGGGATTACAGGCATGCACCACCATGCCTGGCTAATTTTTGTATTTTTAGTAGAGACGGGGTTTCGCCATGTTGACCAGGCTGGTCTCAAACTCCTGACCTCAGGTGATCCACCCACCTCAGCCTCCGAAAATGCTGGGATTACAGGCATGAGCCACCTTGCCTAGCCAAGAACCCCTGTTTTATTTGGGCTGGCAATGTGCTGAGATAACAGACCACATGTTTTCAGCCTCCTTTACAGTTAATGTGGCCCATGTGACACAGTCCTATGGAATTTCCAGAAGTGTTCAGATGAAACGTGGCCCAGGTGACTGGAGCTCCAGCAGCCACGTTGGGCCATGAGGTGTTCTTGAGGATGTAGCCAGGATTGAAAATGGCAGTGCAGGCCGGGCGCGGTGGCTCACGCCTGTAATCCCCGCACTTCGGGAGGCCGAGGCGGGCGGATCACAAGGTCAGGAAATCGAGAGACCATCGTGGCTAACATGGTGAAACCCTTTCTCTACTAAAAATACAAAAACTTAGCCGGGCTTGGTGGCAGGTGCCTGTAGTCACAGCTACTCAGGGGAGGCTGAGGCAGGAGAATGGCGTGAACCGGGGAGGCGGAGCTTGCAGTGAGCTGAGATCGCTCCACTGCACTCCAGCCTGGGTGACAGGGCAAGACTCCATCTCAAAAAAAAAAAAAAGAAAATGGCAGTGCAGAAAGATAGGAGCCTAAGTTCTGGATAACACTGAAAGCCATATCAGCCATGATCTACCCACCTCCAGGCTTTTTTTTTTTTCTTAATGTGTTGGTAAAATAAACTATCTTGTTAAGCCACAGTAGTAGGGCTCTGTTAATACCAGCCAAACCTGATCCATGGGGTCGGAATCTTACCCCTCTTGATCCCAGTGACTCAGAGAAGTGGCAGCCAGCATGGGTGATAGAAAGTGTTTCTTTATTTGAATGTCATTCCACCTGCACTGAAGCTCAAACCCAGCAGCAGCAGAAGGGGTCAGGACCAAAATAAATGTTACCAAATTAGACAATGAACAGCGAGGACACACTCAGACAGAACTTACTAATGGGGTGTAGACAACACCAAGCTATCCTAACAGCACACAGCACAGGCCCTCGGAGGCCTGCCTGTCAGAGCTCTGCAGAAGGCTCCCTTGTTCCCTGTTCAGGAAACTCCAGTCCCACCCAAAGGTTAGCCGTGAGCCAGGCAGGGGCCTGCAGAAGTTTCTGGTGCTGGGAAGATCCCAGCTTCTCCAAAGGCAGGATTTCCCTTTCTCAGTTCACACTGGAAGCTGGAGAAGGGTTATTCCCCGCATGCCCAAGCAGGACGCTCAAAAGGCCAGGGACTCTCCCCACAGCCTTATCTAAAAGTTCTCATCATCTTGGCTATCGCAGGCCTTGAAAAGAATCTTGATTCTTTGGTCCTCACCCCCTCAGGAAAGTTTTCCTCCATGGGTACCTGTCCTCAAAGCCAAAAATTTTCATAGCCCCAGTTCCCAGAAGGACTCAACTGACCAGCGCTGTGGGCCAGGGACTGAACCACCCCTAGGCTGTGGCTGCCGTGGCCTCTCCTGAGTCCCCAGATCAGGCAGAGAAAATCGGGCAGTGGTAGACCCCTGATCCAGTCACAGTTAGGGGGGGTACTTCTCTTGGGAGCTGAAGCCAGAAGGCTCTAGGTTGGAGCCCAAAAAGGCCCTCCTGGGGTCAGAAACAGGCACTGATCTCCTCTGCTTATCTCCTCCTGAAGGCTAAGGCCAGATTGCCTGACGATAGCAGAGACAAACCACAAAGCCCCCTTCCCATGATGTCTTTACTGCCCCGGGAGAGCCATCAGGGCCTCACCTGGGACCCCCCACTGGAGCACCTGCCACCCACCCCATCCACACCTCTGCAGAACCCAGGGCCCCGGTCTATGGTTTGGTCCCCACTCTGACTTCTACCCCTTGCCTGTGTCACCCTGGGGTTCCCGCAGACTTCAGCCCACACAACTCTGCCTTCCTGACCCCAGACTCCCTGGTGCATCTCCCCCTGGCTCTGCCAAGATGGCAGCTGGCCAGGTGCGGTGGCATGGGAATGTTGCCAGGCTACCCCACCAGGGAACTGGCCTCCCTCTTCTCCACCCAGCGCTGACCCCCTCCTAAGTCAGCTGGACCCCCTCTGCCCTCTGAAGTGGCTTCCCTCACTCCAGGCCTCCCCAAAAGGATGTGGCCTTGGCTGCCTGTGCCCCGGGCCTCCAGCCTCTGAGGGGTCAGTTCTAACCCCCTCACCAGGGCACAGGTTTGCTGGGTGTCCTTGGGGAACAAGGTGTAGCAAGGACACCTGGTAGCAGGCGTCCTTGAGGGAATAAGCTCTCCCCTCACCCAGTGCCCAGACAGAAACACCCTCCTCACTGCCCCACATCCTGACTCCTTCATCCTCCTCTCCCTCCTCTGCATCCCATTCTTGCCCCCTAACCCACATCTCCATTTACCTCTTCCCCGCTCCTGAGTCCTTTTTCCGCCTTTCTGTCCATTTCCCCTCCCCGACCCCAAGCTCTCCCGCAGCCTCTCAGCTGCTCTCTCATCTCTCTGCCTCTGCCCCTGTCTCTCTCGATCTCTTCTCCTCGAGCTCTCTCTCTCTGTGCCTCTCCGTCCCCCTCGCTCCTTCTCCAATCGTCTCTCATCTCCCTGTCTCTGCACCCCTCCTCTCCGCACCCCAGTGTCTTCCCCCATTCCCAGTTGCTTGCTCAGCCCCTCCCCTCACTCTCTCCTAGCTCTGCTCTTCCCCTCCAATGCCGAGCTTTGGTTTGCATATTTGAGGAACTCCCTCCTACCCCCACTCCCTCCCACGGGGCTCCCACACCCTCCCGCATTTAACCCGGACCCTCTGTCCCGCAGCACCCCTATCCCAGGCCGACTGGACTGCCCAGGAAGGCTCTGCGGGGGAAGGGGAGCCCAGCGCTGGGACCAGAGCACTGTGGGGAGGTGTTTGCCCAGGAGGAGTAAGTGGAGGAGTGGGGTTGGGACTTGGTAAGTTACACGTGGCAGGAACCCCCCAGGCCCCAGCATCTGATTCCAGCTGGGTCCAGAGTGGGGAGGCAGGGGACTTCTAGGGTCTTTCTTGGAAACCCTCTCAGGTCCAAGTCTTGTGGAAATGAACACAAGGTTGGCAAACACATGGCGCTCAAGCGACCTTCTCCCCTCCTCCGAGGTCCAAGGCAGCTTCCCCCAGCATCCTGCAGGGCACTGCCCCTTCCCTGCAGGTCCAGGCCACGAGGAGGGGGCGCTGGACGAAGCTGGTCTGCACCAGCAACTAGTGCTGAGGGGAGCTGTCCAGGCCCCAGGGCAGGGAGGCTCCCCGGGCGAGATGGCTCTGCTGCCAGACCCATAGGGTAATGAGGGGTGTTCAAAACATACCAGGAGTCTCCCTCACCTGCTCCCTGCCAAGGGGAAGGGAGTCGCTCCCACAGTGGGAGGAGGGGGGAGAAACTTCTCACCTGCCCCCCTAACACACACACACTCTCACACGCGCACACACGCACACACATTTCACTCATACACATACACTCATGCCTCGGCTCCAAGCACTGCCCACAGGTGCAGACCCTGGGCATATCGCAAGGCGAGAGGTGGGCCAGGAGGACAAAGAGGCTGGGACAGGATAACAAGGCCTAGGAGAGGGGACAGGGGTACCCTGTTCAGAGATGACCTGCAAGTTCAAGTTATGCAGAAAAGTATCAAAGAGACAAGACAGTCTCTGCCCTTGGTAGATGCCTGGGGTGTGGAGGGCATGAGAAGGGGCAGAAGGGGTAATGCATCCCCCAACTCCCCACCTCTGGGGTTCCCTCCATACCCCCCAACCCTGACAACAGGGCCAAGAAGTCTGTGCTGTACAAAACAGGCCAGGGTCAAGGGTCCAGTCATTGGTGAGACATCCCAGCAGAGAGGAGGCCTGGGCAAAACAGGCCAAGGTCAAGGGCTCAGTCGTCGGTGAGATGTTCCAGCAGAAAGGAAGAGGAGGCCAGGCCAGCCCGGGCTGAGCAGCTTCTAAGTTCCAACTGCCGAGGCCACTTGCCCCCTCCAGCTGCCTCCAGAGCCTGAAGGTCTTTTCTGACTCTGGGCTGATCAGGGAACCGGTCTGCAGCTGACAGCAAGGCCCTGTGCGGTCCCTCGGTGCAGCTCTCCCTCTTCGTGAGCTGGAAGCAGGCTGGAATGGGGCAGAGGAGGTCCCAGGAGAGACTGGTGGCACCTGGAGCTTTGTGGCAGATGTGGTGGAACCAACATCAGCCCAAAAAAAAAAAAAAAAAGTAGGAAAGAGTCCAGCCCACCCTGGGGCAGTATCTAGAATAAATTTCTTGAGGAGGCAGGGACCAGAAGAGGTGTGGATACAGCCAGGCAGCAGCCCTCCAGACTGAGGGGGCCTGGGGAGCTGGAACTATAGCTCTGCTCTCCCTGGGGATCTGCAGGGACCTCCAGGCCAGTCTAGAGAGGAGAGGAGAAGCCCAAGGGCCTGGGTGGATGCAGGCTCCCTTAGGTCAAATTTAGGGAGGAGCAAGAATTAGACCCTCCCAAGGTCTGGAGGGCCTCTCCTCTCCCCCAGACCACATCCAGGCTTTCCCCTCCTCAAAGCCTGGAGCTCGCAGGGTAGTCGGTGAGAAGTGAGTCTGAGATCAGGGTGTTCCCTCAGAGCTTGAATGGAGTGACGAGAGGGCAGGAGGCAGGACAAGCTGAGGTCAGGCCAATTCCTGGACTGTGATCCTGGCCTTTCAGGGTCCCTGTGAGTGAGCCACGGGGCAGGGAAGGACTCCCCATCCAGAGACATCACCCCCGGGCCGCAACACGGAGCTTACTGTAGAGCCCACAAAATCTAAGAGAGAGAGAGAGGGAGAGAGAATTAGAGAAATCAGAGGCTGCCTGGGCATTCGGGCTTTCCTTACACATTCCCCAGGGCAAAAGTGAGCAGAGGGGCCGGGCGCAGTGGTTCACGCCTGTAATCCCAGCACTTTGGGAGGCTGAGGTGGGTGGATCACTTGAGGTCAGGAGTTCAAGACCAGCCTGATCAACACGGCAAAACCCTGTCTCTACCAAAAATAGAAAAAATTAGCCGGGCATAGTGGTGCATGCCTGTAATTCCAGCTACTAGGGAGGCTGAGGCAGGAGAATCGCTTGAACCCAGGAGGCAGAGATTGCAGTGAGCCAAAATTGCACCACTGCACTCCAGCTTGGGCAGAAAGTGTGAAACTCCATCTCAAAAACAAACAAACAAACAAACTAAAAAATGTCAGAGGGGCCAACTGTACAAGGGCTGAAATCCCAGCCTCACCTGACCAGCAGGATGGCCATGAGCAAGCCATTTAATGTCTCTGAGCCCCGATTTTCTCATCTGCAAAATAATGATCATAGCTCACAGGGTAATTCCGAAGGGTCAAAAAGAGACAAATAATGACAGCCAAGGACTTGGCAGTGTTTGGTCATAGAATATGCTGGAAATGGAAGCTATTTATTTATTTATTTATTTTTTCTTTGGTTCCAGAGGTCTTCTTTTAAAAAAAAATTATATATTTCCTTTTAATAGAAACTGGGTTTTGTTACATCGCCCAGGCTGGGCTTGAACTTGTGGGCTCAAGCGATCCTCCTGCCTCAGCCTGTAGCTGGGACCACAGGTACGCGCCATGGCTCTTGGCTCGGAGGTCTTTGGGTTAAAACTAAAGTGGGAGGCTCACTCATCTTGAACTCCCAGTGAGGGATGGAGGTTCCCTGGACACTGAAGGGAGGAAAACTGGGGCTCCTTTACATCGATTTTTTTAACACTAAGTTGTTAAGGGGCTTTGGGAAGGGAGGAGAGGGACACTGAGGGGGCCCACTTCACGTCAGTCACATCCTCACACCCCTTCCTGATAAAGGCCAGATCTGAGTCTTAGTCTTGCACTTCTAGAAGCTGCCGCCAGAGGGCAGGCCTTGACTTCACACCAAGACCACAGAAATCCCGGGGTCTGAGGGACTACGTCAGTTATTTAGAACCTGCCTCTGAGTACAGGTTAGCAGGTCAGCTTCCCAGGAGAGCTCCCAAAGCCATGCAGGAAATCTCTGGCCTCACCAGGTTGAGACAGACAGCGTGACAAGGGGGAGAAGCTTGGGCTTTGGACTTGGACTTGGGTTCAGATTCTGCCTTCACCACTTAAGTGACTTTGGGCAAGTTACTGGACCTCTGGAGTTCTCTAAACGTGGCCTTTTTTCTTTATTGTATTTTAATGCCACTTGATGTATATGAAAGTTTATATGCAATACACTAATTATAAAGCATACAATGTGCCAGGTAAGGTGGCTCACACCTGTAATCTCAGCACTTTGGGAGGCCAAGGCGGAAGGATTGCTTGAAGCCAGGAGTTCAAGACCAGCCTGGGCAACATGGGGAAACCTCGTCTCTACAAAAAATACAAAAATTAGTCAGGCGTGATGGCGCATGCCTGTAGTCCCAGCCACTCAGGAGGCTGAGGCAGGAGAATTGCTTAAGCCCAGGAGTTTGAGGCTACAGTGAACTATGATTACACCACTGCACTCCAGCCTGAGCAACAGAGTGAGACCCCCCTCCCCCAATCTCTTAAAAAAAATACAATAGTAAGCACTGATGAGCTCACCATTCAATAACTATAACTCAGCCAGGTGTGGTGGCTCATGCCTATAATCTCAACACTTTGGGAGGCTGAGGCAGGCAGATCACTTGAGGCCAGGAGTTCGAGACCAGCCTGGCCAACATGGTGAAACCCCATCTCTACTAAAAATACAACAGTTAGCCAGGTATGGTGGCACATGCCTGTAATCCCAGGTACTCATGAGCAAGAGGCTGAGGCACGAGGATCACTTGAACCCGGGAGCTGGAGGTTGTAGCGAGCCCAAGACTCTGTCTCAAGACAAAAAAAAAAAAAGAAAAAAAAAGGACTCTAACTCTACCAGTAATTTGCATATACCTCCATGCTCCATCTCATATACTTCACTTCCTCCCCTTCCATCATAACCACAGATGACCGTCATCCTACCTTTCATATTTATTATTTCTTTGCTTTTTTAAGAAAAATACTACCACAGCCGGGCGCGGTGGCTCACTCCTGTAATCCCAGCATTTTGCGAGGCTGAAGTGGGCAGATCATGAGGTCAGAAGATGGAGACCACCCTGGCTAACACGATGAAACCCCATCTCTACTAAAAATACAGAAAATTAGCCAGGCGCGGTGGTGGGCGCCTGTAGTCCCAGCTACTCGGGAGGCTGAGGCAGGAGACTGGCGTGAACCTGGGAGGCAGAGCTTGCAGTGAGCTGAGATCGTGCCACTGCACTCCAGCCTGGGTGACAGAGTGAGACTTCGTCTCAAAAAAAAAAAAAAAAATACTGCCACAAGTACATGTGTGTTTAAACAATACATTGCTTAGTTTTGCTTAGTTTCGAGCTCAATAAATATATCACTCTGTCATCTTCTGGAACTTGTTTTTATTTCCCCTCTCTCAATATTATATTGCTGAGATACGTCCACTGTGGTACATATAACTGAAGTGTGACATTTTCACAGCTGTGAGCTGCTCTGTGATGTGAACATGCCACATGTATTTATCCGGCCTCCTGTCCATGGCCATTCGACTGTTTATAGTTGTTTGCTACAGTGAAGCTGCAGCCACCAGCGCCTTTGCATGCTTCTCATGGGTTTGTACCCGAGGTGGGTTTGCTGGGTCATAGGCAAATGATCAGATCTGAGGGAGAACATCAAATCATTTTAAAGGTGGTTGTACTGTCAGTCGGGTTTCTTTTTTTCTTTTCTTTCTTTCTTTTCTTTCTTTTTTTTTTTCCGAGATAGCCTCTCTCTCTGTCATCCAGGCTGGAGTGCAGTGGCACAATCACAGCTCACTGCAGCCTCAACCTTCTCAGGCTCAGGTCATCCTCCCATCTCAGCCTCCTGAGTAGCTGGGACCACAGGTGCTCGCCACCACACCCAGCTAGTGTTTTGTATTTTTTTAGGGAGGGGATTTCACCATGTTGGCCAGGCTGCTCTTGAACTCCTGGGCTCAAGCGTTCTACCTGCCTTGGCTTCCCGAAGTGCTGGGATTACAGGCGTGAGCCACCACGCCCAGCCAGGGTTTCCAATTCATGCAACCCTTTTACTCCTTTTATTTGAAATTATCCTGCCTCCCAGGAGCAGGCCTGGCTCCTGCCACTGCCCCCCAGCCCACAGCACACTCGCCTTTGTTCTCTGGCTTGAGCTCCTCCTGCAGCAGGTCTGTTTGCCGGTTGCCCAGCACAAAGGCGAGGAAGGAGAGGATGAGGGCGTTGAGGATGCCGATGATGGCCAGGATGTATGCCCAGCGCACTGAACAGTCCCCCAGGGAGTACTTCCCTGTCTTGGCCCCGCACATGTCCCGGATGGTCTCGGCGTCCCAGCCATCAGGAAAGATCATGCAGCCCAGGACGAGGCACAGAGCTGAGGGGCAGAGCACCGGGCCCACCACCACGGTCAGGAAGGAAGAGAAAAGATCATTACTCCCTAGTGTCCGCAGTCCGGGCCCCACCCTATTGCGGGCAAGTCAATCCAACCACGTGCTTGTTACCCACTTCCAGAGAGGGAGAGAGGGCAGGGGCAGGGAAAAGAGAGAGAGAGAAAGAGGTCTAGGACGGGTAGCAGAAACTTTCTGGAACCTGCAACGCCCTCTCCCTTCCCCATCAGATCAACTCCAGGAAGCCTTCTGGGAATATGAGAACATAGCCACCCACAGCCACCTCCTTCAACTTCCCCTAGCATCGGGACCAACTCCCTCTCCCATCTCTCCCATCCTCATTATTATTTATTTATTTATTTATTTATTTATTTATTTTTTGAGGCGGAGTCTCACTCTGTTGCCCAGGCTAGAGTGCAATGGCGCGATCTCTGCTTACTGTAACCTCCACCTCCCAGCTCAAGCAATTCTGCCTCAGCCTCCTAAGTAGCTGAGACTACAGGTGCCTCCCACCATGCCCGGCTCATTTTTATATTTTTAGTAGAGATGAGGTTTCACCATGTTGGCCAGTCTGGTCTCGAACTCCTGACCTCAAGTGATCTGCCACCTCAGCCTCCCAACGTGTTGGGATTATAGGAGTGAGCCACCATGCCCGCCCTCATTGTTATTTTTAAAATTCTTGTCCTTCACTCATCAAATGTTTATTGGGCACCATTTTCCTTTTATTCACGATGCTGGAATACACTTTCATTCACGCAGTTGAGCACTTTGCTAAGAGCACAGACTATGAAGTGCCAATGACAGGACTTAGCCTAGTTCTTCCCCTAGCTTGGCTGTATGACCTTGGGGGATGCCACTGAACCTAGAACAGGCCTGTGTCAGTCAATACCACTGTACTTACCTCACAGGGTGATTAGGAGGATTAAATGAAGTAATGCGTGTAAGACACTTAGCACAGTGCCAGGCACTCAGGTAGCATTTATCCAGGGCCTGCCATATGCCAGGCACTAGACCAGGCCTAGGGGGTAGGGAGACTTGGATTTTAGCTTCATGGAGCTTGCAACGTAGTGTGGGGAGAGGTACGTAATAGCAAAGCGATTAAGAAGGCTGGGTCTCAAATCCTGGCTCAGCTATTTTCTAGATGTGCCACACTGAGCAAGTTCCTTCACCTTTAAGCCTCAGTTTTCTCATATGTACAATGGGAATAATGATGGCATCCTCAAATGGTTGTAAAGATTATGAAAGGCAGCAAAATGTAAAGTATCTGGCACAGTAAGTTCTGGGTAAATCTTGGCTGTTATCAAAACCAGCTATGACGCCCAAAGTAATAATTACACAAATAAGAAAGTAATGTGGAGAGTTGGTTTCAGGTGAGGGGGACAAAGGCAAAGAGGAAGAGAAGGGGCAGGCTCAGAAGGGCCTTGGCAATGGTTCCCTAGCTAGCATCCACCTGCTTTGGATTTAGCAACCCACCTGTCCCAGTCCCAGCCCGGGTGGGCCCTTGGCCAGCACTTAGCCTAGTGGATGAGACCCACGCCTGAGCTAATGAGCACATTGAGTTCCTCTGGTAACACTGACTGGCTTGGAGAGTGGCAGCTGCTGCGTCACAGGGCAGTCAGAACCCCCAGATTCAGCAGGCCGCTGTGAAGATGGGGTCTTCCCCTCCACCAGCTTTGTGTCACCAGCTTGATGGGGCCCTCGTACTGCCAGTCCTGCCAGCATTTGGGTTACTGTGTCTGAGACCCAAAGGTTCCATAGAGCTCTGTTTGGAACCGTGGGGACCCTGAGCCTGCACCAGGCCCACGGAATGCTTAGCCTGGGTTTTAGATGACAGCGATGCAAAGTGGGGGTAATGGTCAGCTCTGCCCACTGTCCACCTGGCCCATATAGTCCCCAGGGTGGGAAGGGGCCCTTGGCTGTGCCAGCTCCCTCCCACATCTACTGTGGAGGGAATGCTCCCAGGCTCCAGCCTCTTCTGGCTTCCAACGGAGTGGGCCCTCCTCCCCATCGTGGCACTGCCAGATTCCAGCCAATCCTCCCCCTCTCCCCAACACGTGCTCCTCTTCCAGATGCAGGCTCCCCCCACAATACTGTGGTCGAACAGGCACTGCAGCAGGGCTCCTCCCCACACCAGTGCTCCTCCTCCAAATCAATTATCCAGTCCAGTGGAACTCATCACCTAAGGGCTGGGAAAAGAGTTCCAGCCAAGGGGAATGGCAAAAGCAAAGCCCTGTGATGGGAACAAGTTGGATGAGTTAACCAACTAGCAACTTTGAGCAGGCCAGAGTTCAGGAGAAAGCCAGGGCTGGACATGCAAATTTGGGAACTGTGGGCACTTGTAGGTACTTAAATCCCGAGGACTGGACATGGTGGAAACCGAACAGAAGGCTTAGGACTGAGCCCTGGTGCTCCAGCATTAACAGGGCAGGAGGAGGAAGAGGGGCCTGTGGAGAAGGCCTGGCCATCATCTCTCCCCATAGCGCTGCACTTTGCCAGACCCTCCGGGACCCTATCTGAAAGGAAAGGAGGGTCAAACACCAAGGAAAGGAATGGGGCAGGGGGGAGGAGTGGTCTCAGCCCCAGTCCTTCCCCCGCCCTCGGAGTCCCCAGGGCCCTTTCCCAGGCTGGTGCGCTCCTGCCTCCCTATTCCCGGACTCTAAATCTCCAGCAAGAGGCAGGAGTGGGAAAGAGTCAGAAGAGGTGGCAAACCCACACCGTCCCTTCGCCTCCTCTCTGACCGTCCACTCCCAAGGTGCCAGAGGCGCGGGTCCCGCAGCAGTCGGTGGCTCCCGCCGGGAGCATCCTCGTCTCCATGGAAACCGCGTCTGCATCCTGGCGCTTCCAGCCGCGCAGGCTCCTGCGGGCGGTCTTCCTCCGCTCCGCAACCTGAGCACTGAGGCCTCCGGGAGGTTTTCTTCCTTTTGCTTTGCGCCTGCACCTTCTTTCTGCCTGTCTCTCTCTTTCGTTCTGTGTCTCCATTCCTTTCTCTTCTCCGCCCTTTTCATCTTTCTTCGCATCCCTCTCTCTCTCTCTCTCTCTGGCTTGTCTACTTTGAGCTCAAGTCTCAGTCAGGACCCCCGCCCCGCCCGCTTTCCCCTTTATTTAGATCTCTCAGCATTTAACATTCATTGAACTCCCTCCTCCTCTCTGTTTCTTTTCTCCCTTTTCTCCGTTCTCTATATCTATCCCCTCACCTTATCCTCTCTTTTTGCCTCTCGCCTCATAGATCCCACAAACACATTCCTGCATGCCCACTATGTGCCAAGCACTGTGCAGTGTGCCGGGGACAGCAGGCTTGGTGTCTGTCTTCAGGGTGGAGGCATGTGGGGAGGAATACAGCCAACAAGTCAACACACAAAAAGAAAAGTTACACATGTCAAGGTGTGCTTCAAAGGAAAAAGACTAGCAGCTGCCACCCACAATAACAGGGGTACTCAGAGATGGCTGGGGCACTCACACTGCAGGGTTTCAGATGGTGACTGTGGGGCCCCAGAGGCCACTCTGGGAATGCGAATATCAGAAGTCAAACAAATGAAAAGCCAATTAGATGGGTTTCCTTGCACCTGGGGGAAAGATAGAAAGGGACCAGTAGAGATAGCCTAGGCCAGGAAAGTGCCCAAGAAGGCCAACCATCAGGAGATAGAATGACTGCAGATAAGGCAGGGTTCAGCATTCCCATTTGCTGGATGAGGAAACTGAGGCCGAGGCTTTTGGATTCTAAGCTTAAGTCTCTTTTGGAATAATGAGCTGGCTGAAGAGCCAGCTGCTGCTAGGCACATACACAGGTGTAGGATGGCACAAGGTTTCTCAGCCTCAATACTTTTGACATTCAAGCTAGATGATTTTTCACGGTAGGGGCCAACCAACACATTGTGGGATGCTTAGCTTCGTCCCTGGCCTCTACCCACCAGATGCCAGGGGTACCACCAACCCCAGTCATACTGATTAAAAAATGTCAGTTGGGCATGGGTGGCTCATGCCTGTAGTCCAGCACTTTGGGGCAACATGGTGAAAATCTTTATCTACAAAAAAATACAAAAATTAGCTGGGCATGGTGGCATGCACTTGTAGTCCCAACTCCTCAGGAGGCTGAGGTGGGAGCCGGAAGATCAAGGCTGCAGTGAGCCAAGATTGCACCACTGCACTACAGCCTAGGTAACAGAGTGAGACACGGTTTTAAAAAAAAAAAGTCCCCAGTGTAGGGGATTATCCCTGGCTCAAAACCACTGGTGTAGGGGCAGAGGCTCTAGGATGGGGTATCTCTATCCAGCTACCCCACAGTCCTACTGACTTTCTCTGCTCTGAGCAGCCAGGAGGTGTTATGACAAAATTAAGATGAACAATATTAATATTTGTAATATTGTGATAATATTGTTAAAAATAGTGTTGCGTGACCGGGCGCGATGGCTCATGCCTGTAATCACAGCACTCTGGGAGGCCAAGGCAGGTAGATCACCTGAGGTCAGGAGTTCGAGACACCTAGTTCAACATGGTGAAACCCATCTCTACTAAAAATACAAAAATAGCTGATGTGGTGGCGCATGCCTGTAATCCCAGCTACTCAGGGGGCTGAGGCAGGAGAATTGCTTGAATCCAGGAGGTGGGAGGTTGCAGTGAGCCAAGATTGCCACCACTGCACTCCAGCCTGGGTGACAGAGCAAGACTCCCTCTCAAAAATAAATAGATAAACAAATATAAATAAATAAATAAAGTGTTGAGTGCTTAACACATGCCAGGGTGCTAAGCTCCTGACATTCATTATCTCATTTAATCTATTATTAATTTAAAAATTCGGCCAGGCGTGTGGCTCATGCCTGTAATTCCACACTTTGGGAGGCCAAGGTGGGCGGATCATGAGGTCAGAAGATCGAGACCATCCTGGCTAACACAGTGAAACCCATCCTCTACTAAAAAATAACAAAAAAATTAGCAGGCAGGGTGGTGGACGCCTGTAGTCCCAGCTTACTCGGGAGGCTGAGGAAGGAGA